AGCATATACAAAACACTACAACCTCTTACAAACACACAACATTAACTAAGCACAAATGCAAACACGCAACATTAACTAAACACAATTACAGACACACAGCTTTAACTAAGCACAATTACAAAAACACAGCAATAACAAAACACAATTACAAAAACACAACATTGACTAAGCGCAAATAACAAAACACAACATTAAGTTAGCACAATTACAAATACACAACATTAACAAAGCAAAAATACAAAAACACAACATTAACTAAGCACAATAACAAAAACGCAACCTTAACTAAGCACAATTACAAAAACACAACGTCAATTAAGCAAAACTACAAATGACAAAAACACAACGTTAACTAAGCACAACTACTAAAACCCAACGACGTGCATTGTTATGTTGTTGTGTTGTAGCTTTGTAGTTTTGACTGGGGGTTCCTTGCTGTGGTTTGAAGCCTCAGGGCCACCGTACTTTGCCCCTTTGGAGGCCATGTCTCTGTTGTCTCTGTTGTTTCCGGTCTGTTTGTGACTCCGGCCTCTGACCCCTCTCAGATTGGAACTCCACGGCCTACGGCCTGCCGTCGCCCTACGACCGGGAGCAGGCCGGCTCCATCCTGCCCATCGCGCTGCAGTTCCTCACGCCGGCCTACATCTCCGTCATCGGCATCGGCGCCGTGGCGGCCGCCGTCATGTCCTCCATGGACTCGGCTCTGCTGTCCTCCGCCTCCCTGTTCTCCTCCAACATCTACAAGAACATCATCCGGAAGCAGGTCAGACTTTGGGGAATGTGTCGAGGGGCAAAACGGGACTCAAACACCAGCAGAAGTCTATTCAATCCATCAACTTTTTGGCTGCCGGCTGGTATAAAGATCTGGAATATTAATGTTTCTTCCTCCTGGTTTTTTTTAATTTAGTTTCCTTTGTGAAAAAATGTTCACATACATTCTAAAAACTGGCACAAAGTCAGTGTTTTGATTTTTTGTAGTTGCTTTATAACACTTAAAATCATGGATTAGGAACTATTCCATTAAAAAGAAGTCGATGGAAATGGCGACTTTGGAAAAAAAAAGGTAATTTCAATTGGATTCTTCCAAGATACGTAATGATTCCTCTTTCAGTAGCTTATTACAGTGGGGGAAATAAGTATTTGAGCCCTTGCTGATTTTGCAGGTTTGCCCACTTACAAAGAATGCAACGATCTATAACTTTAATCATATGTACATTCTAACAGTGAAAGGCAGAATCCCAAAGAAAATTCCAGAAAATCACATCATATGAATTTATAAAAATTGATAAAGATCTGATGAGGAAAAATAAGCATTCTTTGTAAGTGGGCAAACCTGCAAAATCAGCAAGGGGTCAAATACTTATTTGCCCCACTGTAACTGTCATTTCTTGGAAAATGCAACAGAAACGGCCTCGTTTTCTGAACGCAACATGCACGTTTCCAACAGGACTTTACATGGTAAAGAATCTGTGTGGGCAAAGATCTACAAACCAGAGTCTGTGTGGCTTTACTGTCCAGAAAAATCTTATTTAGAGGCGAGAACAGGGAACTATTTTCTGCTTTTTTATACATACTCTACAGACAGCCCACAGTTTTATGGGTTTTTTAGCTTTTTAAGCCAAAAAAGAAACTATTTCAGGGAATCCCGAGCTGGGCTCCTCCCTTTCTGGGTGGCTGTTTTCCGGTTTGCTGGAAGCTGACTCTGATTCTGGTTCTGGTTCTGCTTCCCCTGTGCCCCCCCCCCCAGGCGTCGGACTACGAGATGCAGTGGGTGATCCGGATCTCGGTGGTGGTGGTGGGGCTGGGCGGCACGGCCCTCACCTTCCTGGACAACAGCGTGCTGGTCTTCTGGCTGGTGGGCGTGGACATGTCCTACACCATCATGTTCCCGCAGCTGGTGTGCGTGCTCTTCTTCAAGGTGTCCAACGGCTACGGCGCCTCCGTGGGCTACATGCTGGCCTTCCTGGTGCGGGTGCTGAGCGGCGAGCCGCTCATGGGGCTCCCGCCCGCCATCAAGTTCCCCGGCTGCCGGCCGGACAAAGAGGGGAAGATGACCCAGTACTTCCCCTTCCGCACGCTCATCATGCTGGTCTCGCTGGTGTCCATCCTGCTGTTCTCGTGGCTGGCCTCCATCGTTTTCAACAAGGGCCTGCTCTCCGAAAAGTGGGACGTGTTCGACATCCGGCGCAAGAGGAAACAAACGGCCCGGGCCGCCGGCGTCAAGATGGCGCCCGGCGGCGAGGACGCCGCGGCGGGGAAGCAGCTGCTGGACACGACCAGCTGCTGAGGGGCTGTAGACGAAGGGGGGGGGGGGCGGGGGGGGGGGGGCGCACAGGCCTGCGATGGCTCCACATCACTCACCCAGAAACAGCCAAACACTGCACTCATCCACCACCCAGCTCCCAAACCGTCCGATCCAAAAACCGGGTTCAGACCCAGTACATTTCCTAAAGAAAAACAGGGGAAAAAAAGAAGGAAAAAGCAAGATTTGATATTTTTGGGGTAAACGCTCAAAGTAAAAACACGTGTCGTTCTGTTGAGATACACAATAAAGAGCAGACTTTTGTACACTTTTAAAGTTAAATGAATGTATCTGCGTAGCCACACTGTGACGGACGGCTGACCTGAGCTAGCTTTAGCCAAAAAGACTCACCGATTCCTCCCAAACCACCACCGTCACCGTGGTGACGATGCAATTCAGCCCGACCAAGCGCGCCCTTTTATTCATCGATTGGATTTTGCTTTCTGTGAGATGCATCTCAGAAAGGATGGAGCGCGCCATTCGTCCCCGTGCGACCTCCGACCTCTCTCCTCATGAACCCGTGCAGAAGGTTTGCAGAAAGAAAAAGGGCTCTCTTTCACGCCAGAGCAAAGAAACGCCTCCAAAGAACCAAAAAAAAAAAAACCCCTTGCTCCCGTGAAGGAAGCTCGATTTTTTTTTTCCATTTTTGTTTTAATCTTGTCTGATTTTTATTTTTACTCCGAGCTGATCGGCGAGCTCCACTTTAAGCAACCGTAACTGTTCCTGCCTTTTACTAGTTCAAAATGAATGATTAGTGTTTTGATTTCACCATTTTGCCTGTAAAAGAATCAAAGAGGACACAGCGACGCGCAGTGAACTCTGATCACCGGCGGCTGTAAAGGGTCCGAACGGCAGCGGGAGACTGATTTATTTTTGTAAAAAGATGTAAATACGTGTAATGTAGTTTGTTGGGTTATGTTCGCTCGCCGGAGATGAGAGGATGCAGTTTTCACGGAGGTCTTCGCGGCTCGGTTTCGGCCCCGGTTTTCCCCGGCGACTTCCTATCAGGAGGAGGGACGGAGGACGGTCCGGCCGGCCACAGCGACACAAACTCTACGTCCGTCTGCTGTTTTACCGACTAACGCTCCCAAAACACCAGAGTGTGGTTTTACAGTGGGATCACTTCCTTCTTTTCCTGCAGCTGAAATACTTAAAAATTCACGTTTCCACAACAATCTTTTCTCCCTTTTTTTCCGATATTGTTAAAAACACTTTGTTGTATTGAGTCTGATTTTTTTTGTGCAAAAAGCCCTCCTTTAGCATTTTACTGCCTTTGGAAACAGTCCCTGTTTGTTTAAATACCTCATGGAGTGGTATTGTTGGTGTTAGGCATCAAAAAGTGGGTGTTACATCTATCCAAAGAATACTGAGTGATTGTGGACGAACTGTGTCAGAGAACGGGGCGCCTGCATCCGTCTGGATTTCTGCCTGTATTATACTCTTGTACCATATATGTACACTTTATATTTTTTATCAAGACTTCGATAGAACGCGTCGAGTAAAGGTTTCTGTCTGATGTGAGCAGCTTTTAAAGCTGAATTTTTTGCGCCTTAAGTTTTTGCAGAACAACACATGAGCGGGAAAAAAGAAAAGAAGGTTTATTTTTTAAAAAAACAAACAGATTCGGTCCCCAAATGGAAGAAAAATCCCCAGCAGCCAGCCGTCCACAATGTGGTGGAAGGTTTTATCCTGTTCAACAGAGTGTGTGTGCATTTCAAAACTCATGTAAGCAGTGTTGTCTCTCTCGATCGTTTTGGAGCTCCGGACAGCAAGTTCTCTGTTGTATATTTCCCCTAAGGGCTATTTGGTTTTATAATATTATGCACGTCACTTGTTGTTAACTGAGTTGTTTGTATACTGAACCTTTCTGAAAGGCTGTTTTTTTTTTTCTCTTGCCGCTTGGCAAGGTCCTACTTTGTACTGATGAAGTGTAAATCCCCATGGGGTGATGTTCTGTCGGAATAAAGGCTAAAACTGAGGCGCCGTGTGTTTTTCGTCTCCCTCAAAGCAGCCAGGAAACGCCCTGGCCATTCCCCTGGCCGGCAAACGCAAATCACAGCCACAGACACTTCAGCAGTCCCCTATATGGTTTCCATCTTTCATTTGTTTAATTTTTGTAGCTTTACAAAGCTCAATTGGCCAACTGTTGGCCAGCAGCTAGCTGTTTGTTAGCTAGACGTTTGTGGATTTTCAGTAAGCAGTTAGCTTATTGTCAGCGAGCGGTTAGCTTATTGTTAACAAGCAGTTAGGTTATTGTTAGCTAGCTGTTAGCTCACATGTAGCAAGCAGTTAGCTAATTGTTAGTAAACAGCTATCTTCTAGTTAGCAAGAACCCTGTTTGTTAGCAGCCAACAGCTGAAGAACTTAGTAAAACCTGAGAGGACCTGTGCGAGGTCCCAAACAAATCATCCATCCACCCATTATCGGAACCGCTTATTCCCTAATGGGGTCACGGGGGG